ATTCTGGCTAGAAGATCTAAGAGTCGAGATGGCTTGACTCTGCGCATGCAGTAACTCAGATATGCCGGGCAAGGCCACGAAGTGATTCAGTGTATGACATGTAATTAGCATCAGCCTGCGAACAGGCTCTCTTTGAAATTTGAGAGAGAGCCTGCAAGCCTAGCTAATAAAACCGCGTCTGTGCGTTGCTTAGAACGACGCAAGGTTCCCACGGGTTGAAATTGAGTAGTTGGTTATTAACTGCCATAAAAGGTAATGACATTTACACAACAATAGATTCAAGGTGTCAACACAAAGTGCGGAAATCGAAAAATATCGTTTATAGCGATAAAAAATGTATTAGACGAGTTGTATAGAAAACTAAATTTTTGTTTAAAGTTAAAGGATGGGCAGTCAAAAGCTCTTAACAATATTCTAGACGGAAACGATGTTTTTGCTGTATAAGAGAGTTTGGCAAATACAGGGTGTCTAAAAAAAACGCTACGGAAATTCAACAGGTTGTCGTGCATCATAAACGTGGCTAAACAATTCAATTTTTACATAGGACGAAAAAACAGTTATTTAGCTTTTGAATGATACTCGTAACGATGAGAAATGGCCACATACTCGTCAAATAAAAATTGCCGGTCGAAAGAGGGAATTAAAATTGAATGTTAAATTATCTAAAATAAGCTGAACTCGTCAATCTTCGTCTTAGTGAGACCATAAGAACGTCCATTATTGCATTAAACATGGTTCAATTAACCCGCGAACAGAGAACATTCGTAATCAAAACGTTTTACGAAACAAGTACCTTGCAGCAGACTCGCGGTGCTTTTGGATAACTTTGCATAATTAATGTATTTTCAATTCCCAACGGTGGAAGAATGTGATTTTGATCGAAAATTTTTATTTGACGAGTATATGGCCATTTCTCATCGTTACGGTTTAAGAAATATATCATAGAAAAGTTAAATAACAGCTCTTTCGTCCCATGTAAAAATTGAATTGTTTGGTTAAGTTTGTGATGCACAACAGCCTGTTGAATTTCCGTTGTCGAAAAAGTATGGACTTGGACCGATACTCGGCGCCTCCTAAATACTCACGTTCACCGTATATTTTGATAATATATTTAATCTAAAACTTTACACAAATGCTCACTCGCTCACCTCTTGGAACCCTATCTTTCGAACATGTGTTTTTAGCCTGCGAACAGGTGTTCAGTCCATAATACTGAATATAACATGAAGTTTTGTACACCCTTCCCCATATGAAACAGATGATTCATATGTATGCTAACTAAACTGAATGTTTCTGTAAAATTGTTAATAAACGTGTTTGAGACCATGTTCAGTAATCTTTCAGTTCATTTTCTAAAGTTTCTTGGTGATCCGCGTTGCTGTATCGATGGCCGCCTTTCGCTTCGGAACGAACGATCTTGCATTTGCATCCAAAGGAGTTTGGTTTGTCTCCTCCCCGTCCACTTTATTAATTGGCGGAGTCGCAACAGAGTTCGAGCAGATATAAATGTTGTGGAGCTCGTTCTAATCGATCTCGACCGCTTCTGAGACGTATCGCGCGAATTACACCGTCATTGCCTTCGATCAATCTTTCCACGATTCCCAAGGGTCATTTGTTTCTGTTTCGATCCTCCGACTTGATCAACACAACGTCTCCGACTACGATGTTATCTTTCGACTTATGTTTTAACTTATGACGTTCTCCCAGAGCACGCATGTATTCATTTGTCCACCTTCTCCACATTTCTTCTTTCGTGCGTTTCAAGAACTTCGGTCGCTTTCTCAAACTTAAATCATCTTCATGACGAGCCTTTAATTCCGGTAGATAATTTGGAGGGATGAACAACATCGAATTCGGCGTAAGAGTAGGCAGTTGAACATCCTCTTCCATGTAATTAAGAGGTCTATTGTTCATCGCAATTTCAACATCGAGTAACTTCAACATTAGTAACCCACTCCCAACCGTCTTGTAAAAAACTCCTTTCATCAACTCAATCAGCCTCTCAAAGTGTCCCCCCCCCCTCCCCGCCAAGGGGCTCTGCTTAGATTGAATCGCCAGGAGATGGTGTTATTGCGAAGGAAATTGTTGAGCTCTTCATCTTTTCGAATACATTTCAACCACTTAGAAGGTCGAACCAGTCCGAATAAATTATAGTAGGTCTTCCTTGTCTGGCGATAAACCGTTTCAAACTCTTTATAAATTCTTTGGTCTCGAGGCTTGGTAATAAATCCAGGAATACGGCACGCGTTAGACTACATGAGAATAGAGCAACATACGACTTTGCTTCTCTTCCCCTGAGACGATATTTCACCGGGCCAGCGAAATCTACACCAATCACCGCGAAGGGCGTGGACTGTTCGGTTCTACACTTCGGTAATAGTCCAGTGGGTGGTGCGTTGGCGGGTCAGGCTCGAAATTTCTTATATCCATAACAACTCGAAATCACTTTCTTGGCTAGCTTCCTCAATCTGGGAACCCAGTACTTCTCACGAACTTTTGCCATCACCATTCCAACGCCGCCATGCAGAGTAGATAAATGAGCTCTTTGCACAAACTTAGTAGTAAATAATGCACTGTCCGGTAAGAATATTGGGTATTCACCTTGGATACGGCCGTGACATTGCAAAATACCATTTCGTTCGTCTCTAGTTGTAACTGCTCTTTGTCTTCTACGAACGTCAGATCATTTACTGCCCGTTGTTGAATCTAGTTCACCCACACCATTTCAAGTTTCACAACTTCGTCTGTGGTTAGTTATTGCACCGGTGACTTTCTTGGATGGATTTGCACAGTTCGAATTTACTAAGAACAGTCTGTAGAACATCGTTTGTCTCGACACCAACCGCAGAAAGTTCCCGTAGGACCTTTTTCTCCGCTTCACTCATATCACTGGCTTTCGTCACAATATTTGGGGGCCATTTATTTCCGTCCGATAGCCAATCAGGACCGTCAGACCACAATGTAGCTTCGTACACACTACCACCTCTTCTCCCCAAATCAGCAGGGTTTTCAGCTGTGGGCACATGACGCCACAACACGTTGTCATGGCTTCGCATTTTTCTCACTCTATTAGCGACGAACTGACGTTACTGTCCGTCATCATTTAACCAATGGAGTGCTACGGTACTATCTAGCCAACACTGGATGTTTTCTGCGATTTTGAACCCTTCAAGAGCATTTCTTACGTTGACCGCTAAATTTACCGCTATATGTCCCGCAACAAGTTCGAGCCTGGGGATAGTCAAGTTAGTTTTTGCGAGTCGTGATTTTGCGGCCACCAAACCTTGCACAGTTCCCGAGTCTTGCTGGACAACGGCGTACACAGCTGCACATACACCTTTTTTGCTTGCATCTCCGAATGAATGTAATTTCACTTGTTGGATTGGCTCTCGATAAACTGGGATGCATCGTGGAAACGACAAACAACTCGGTAACGCACTTTCCCATTTCAACCACCGTTTGCTGAGCTCATCAGGAATAGACCCATCCCATCGAATCTTTTCTTCGCATATTTCACGATATATAATCTTGACGTCGAGCATCATAAGTGAGATTAGACCTAGGGGGTCGTAAACTTTTGCTAAGTACGCCAAAACACCTCGCTTCGTCAACACCGCAGGTACGGTAGGGAAATCGACTTGTAGGGTATCTTCAATCTTGTTCCACTTCAGGTCCAATAGCTTGCACTCGTTCTCTTTTGGATTGGCACCTAACTGTTGCTTAGCAAATGTAATCGAATTGTCACTCATGTCCGACTCAAGTTCTGGGGCGTTCGAATGCCACTTATGTAATCGTAATCTGGCATCATTGAAGATGTCGATCGCGTCTTGTTTAAGCTCGGTTGCTTCATCAGTAGTAGGTGCTCCGGAGATTAATCTCGGGGAAACGAGGCTCAATCAACTCTAAATGTCACGCGATGACTCCATTCAATAAAAACGGCGACGAAATTAAACCAAAGACAACTCGAGTAAAACCGAGTACTTCGACTTCTGTGGAATGTAAATCTTTGATCCAATGGAACCGTAACGGGTCACGCTCAGCTTCCCGGACTCTAATTTGTAGAAAGGCTTTTTGCACGTCTCCTGCAACAGCAACAGGGTGGAATCGATTTCTAACTATCACTGACCGCAGTTGATTGTGTAATGGGCGGCCGGTAAGTAGACAATCGTTTAATGATGGCGTATCTTCACGTTGACGGGCGAATGCGTCATAAACAATTCGGGTTTTCGTGGTTTCCGCGTTTTCTCTGACTACGGCGCGATTAGAGAGGTAGAATTCTTTACCCGTGACTTCACATGGAGCTTTCTCTACGATTCCCTGTTCGATTTGCTTTCTGATCATAGCATCATACTCTGGAAGCATGTCTGTCCGTTTTAATTTCCGTAAGAGAGAATTGAGACGACATAAACTACCATCTTGATTTGATAACAGGGGTTGATGACCAGGTTTCCATGGAAGTGACGTTTCGTACCAACCGTCCTTGGATCTTGTCAGCTGCTCTTTGAATTTGTCAAATATATCACCATCAGCACCTACATTATCAGCCAAACCCAGCACGTCGAGGGCACACAAGTTATCATAATCTGAGATCGAATTCACAGCTAGATAGCCAAACGTTTCGTTTCCATTTTCACCAGGTAACATGAGAGACCATCCCAAACGAGTATGTTCAACCACTGGTTCTCCTGTCTAACCAACACGTAGATTTTCATTAGTACGAATCTTAGCGTAATCATTTGCCGCAAGGATGATATGAGCAGGAAACATGTCTTTCTTATCATAATCGTCCATGTAGACATCTTTCAGATGAGGGTGCTTTTTGAGGATTTCTTTATAATGGGGGTTTTCTAGGCGAAGCAACTCATCTTTCTCTATATTAGTTATGCTCACGTCGATGGCGAAATCTTTGCTGAGGGATTCTATATGGATATCGTAAACTTGCATCTTTCGGGTGGTAACTCCTGTCAACATTGCTATTTGTCGTAACCAGCCGACTTGCATTAATTGCTTGCACCAATTAGCTGAATAGCAGTTGAAGACGCGTATGAATGACTAGCGCCACTGTCCAACAATGCTCGGAATTTGTAGCCATTTATCCGAACAACTACAACAGGATGTACAACAGTGGAAGCACCAATGAAATTAGCAGTCATACCAGGTTCTCGCGGTGGAGGACTCTTATCGCAGATCGATGTATGATGTTTATCTTCACATATCTGACATCTATTCTTGCTTTTGCACTCTGCAGCACAATGTCTTCCGCTAGCACAATTAAAGCAGAAGTGTTTTTCAGCCAAAATTTTCTTTCTCGCCCCAGGGGCAACAACTTTGTTACAACTAGCTGATAGCTTTATGACTCTCATTTGAACAGTATAAACAGCCCTTATTGTTATTATCGTTATTCTTGGAGAAGTAAGATCTGTCTCGCTCCTTATGATGTTTTGAACCTTTTTTTTCTTTAATCAGTTGGATTGTTCTTTATCCAGAGTTCTAGGGCATGTACAAATTCCATAAAGGTCCACTCACTCCATTTCTCGTTAGTCATTGCAAGTTCAGATTTGATCACATCTAGCTTATCGAATGTAAATCTCACGGCAGCATCCAGTTTCTCAAGGCTTTCGAGGGTTTGTAACGATTCAACATTATACAACAGGGTCTCGTAAAAGGAGTGAATTTTGGAAACATCTCTCTCTCTTTGATGGTAGGCAATTCCAGAATGGCTCGGACATAAGCACTTACAACCTCGCTCGTCTGTCCATATCGTTTCTTCAAAATATCTCTAGCTCTAGCATACCCCTCACCAGTAAATGGTAGTCCATCGATAAGTTTTCGAACCTTTACGTCTACTAATTCCTTCAAATAGGAAAATTTGGTCACATCATCTGCACTTGATTTGTCAATTTGGGATTCAAATAGCCCACCAAATCGTACCAAGCATTGGGTCGTTCCCTTGAATTTTGAAATAATCAACTTTGGCATTTTTGCTGCAGTAGATACTTTTGAAGTTGATTGACTCGATAATTGTGAAGTTGGTTGTAATTCTTTTCTGTTGGTGCTCCCAGTCTAATTTCCGTTTCGCTTCGTCTGCTTCCTTCTCTTTTCTTAACTTCTGTTCAGTTAAGCGTTTCTGAAAGTCCAATTTATGTTGTTCTTCTTTCAATGTTAGCTCTTCTTTCGCAGCCAACTCCACACAGCTTATCTCTTGACTCAGTCTCCGAACACATTGGTCCGCTTCGGTTAACATTGTTTCAGGTGTTGCAGCCCATATCTTTACTTCCTCTTCGTCTTTCCCTTGTAAGAACATCTTCTCTTCGATAGTTTCCTTCAATGTGTTTACCATCGTCGATATAGCACTTACTGATAAACGTTGTCTCTCTAATGTTTCCTGGTCCTGTTTAGTAATGTCATCCGATTTGCTCATTCGATATTTTAGTGTTTTTAATTTACCCTCGAGATCTTCCAAAAGTGTTTCCATGTTTGTTGTATGTAGTTCAGTTCAAACGAATGTACAAAAATTATGGTTCATAATGGTTCACAATAACTTCCTTAAATGAACTACTGTTCAACTTTCGTTTCCAGTTCCCGATTGACACTTAATCGCGCGGTCACGCTAGAAAGTGTTTACTTGTTGTTGTTTTTTTCAAATCGTACCCAAAGGCACAATTCCATGTCAATTTTTCCACAAATATCGATTGTAAAACCACATACAAATAGTCACAACACAAGAAAATCACAATTTCTAAGTAAATGTTATCGCTTTACAGTCAAAACGCATGATTATCGTCGTAAAAAGTGCACTTTCACTTTGCCGTCGATGCACTGATAGGGTTCGTTGTCGACTAAAATTCGCTTCGTAGAAACTCGCAAAGTTCTCCAATCCTGTCGTGGGTCGCCACTGTGTCGAAAACGTATGGACTTGGACCGATACGCGGCGCCTCCTAAATACTCGCGTTCACCGTATATTTTGATAATATATTTAATCTCAAACTTTACATAAATGCTCACTCGCTCACCGCTTGGAACCCTATCTTTCGAACATGTGTTTTTAGCCTGCGAACAGGTGTTCTTAGGTCCCTAATACTGAATATAACATGAAGTTTTCTGCACCGTAGCGGGTTTTTTTGAGACACCCTGTACAACGGCAACGTTCTTTAGCATCTTTACTCTGAGACAAAGGCGACTATAATTTGCATTCTTGAGCATTCTAGTACGCCGTAGTTGTTCACAGGGGGTCCAACTAAGAGTTGTGTTATGAACATGAACATGAATAAAACATTACTTAAACATCATAACGTAATATATTTAAATTATTGCACTTACTTGTATAAATCATAAGAGCTTGTATTTGCAGTGAAAAGCTTCAAACAGGGCGCTAAAATATGCTCAGAAACATTGCTTCGAACGTTTGTTCAAATATGGCGAATAAATTGACAAAACGAAAATATTACACGACATTCCAACGAAAATAACAGCAAGGATTGCGGGCGCGAGCGGATGGCGAGGATAATAGATATTAATAGAAGGGATGAAACACCGGTAATGCGATCGTGTGATGTGTTCCATAAGTAGCCTGTTCTCTCGGAAAATTCCAAAACGCCTCCTGCCAACTCCAACAACGCCTACGCGCTTAATTAATGAAAATAAACAATGTTTAGCTATACCGGCTAATATGAAATGTTTAAATGTAGCGATCAACGGGTTTTTTTACATTATTTAGTTTTATTATTATTTAGTCATACGTCACGAGAACAGGCTACTTATGGAACACATCTCGCGAAAACTGCTAAGAATGTCCGCCGGATGTTATAAATCACATAAATTACATTGATCAGTGCTTTTTTGGTAATTACTAGGCTTGTTCATGTAAGAGAACATCCACTGAGCCCTAAAAGTACTACAAAAAGCTTAAACGGATAGTCTAGAAGCATTTTAAAAAGTCACGTGATATTTTTTTCATCCCTTCTGTTTATTTCTTCCCCGGCTCGTCTTTTCGCTCGCGCTCCCGCAGTCCTTGTTGTTATTTTCGTTGGAACGTCATGTAATATTTTCGTTTTGTCAATTTATTCGCCATATTTGAACAAACGTTCCAAGCACTGAGCTGTATAATAACTGGAGGACCTGCTCCTATACTTCGTTCAGTCAACAAAGTGTCGCCAAAAACATGGCGGATTTTGACGCCATATGACGCCATTTCCATGGCAACTGGTCCGAAAACCTCATGGTAGTTACCACTGACCAGGCTCAATTCTGAGCCCACGGCAGTTTTCACACACCCCTGGTTTTTTGCAAAAGATTTGGTTTTTGCAAATAAATATTTTATAGTTCTCGTTGTTTTAAATCTTTTGTTTAAATTTTGAGTTATATTTACTACCTTTGACCATTTGGTTAAAGATATGCAAGTCGTACGTGTTATTCTCGCCCGCGAAAGCCAAACAAAACCTCTAGAAATGCGGGAAAAGAGTATTAAAGGGTAATGGCAATAAAAATTTTTATTGCTTTATCTGAAAGAGCATGAAAAAATAAGCCGATTGGCCGTTTACTGCTCTATTCTGTCTCATCTGGTTCCGAAGTTATACGCAAAAATGTGCAAAATATAAATTGCTGATTCAGCACAACGTGTGACGTCATTAGCTGGGTAAGTATGTTTAATGAATACTAAACTGAAGCATAGCTCAGTTATTATGGGCCCAAATCAAATGAAATTTTGGATACTGATTGTACATGATGAGACGCATTGAAAAACACTTCTAATTTTGTTGCTAAGGTAACAATGTCGTTCCCAGGCCCCTTGCGCCAATTTTATAAAACAGCTTTATTCATGGTACTTATAAGAATAAAATAATGTCAGAAGTATGTGTACCATACCTATGCATGCCAAAAGTTTACTTGCATGATAATAATTCGAAAATGACATACACATAAATAAATGCAACTAGTTATTCAAAATCAGTGTAAGGGGCCTGGGAACGACTGCGTTGCCTTGACAACAAAATTAGAAGTATTTTCCCATGCGTCTCATCATGTACTATCTGTATGCAAAATGTCATTTGATTTGAGCCAATAATAACTGAGCTATGCTTCAGTTTACTATTCATTAAACATACTTACCCTACCAATGACGTCACACGTTGTGCTGAATCAGCAATTTATATTTTGCACATTTTTGCGCATAACTTCGGAACCAGATGAGATAGAATAGAGCAGTAAACGGCCAATCGGCTTATTTTTTCATGCTCTTTCAGATAAAGCAATAAAATTTTTTATTGCCATTACCCTTTAAAGACGATACTTGAGTCGAGTAAAACTGTAAAAGGTAGGAGGCGTCTAGTCAATTTTACTTATTCTTTATCTTATTTGACATGAACTTGGTAAGCCTAACGATGAAATACACTTCATTCGTTAAGAAAACAAGCTTTCAGCTTTCTACAGTCCAAATTTCATATTGTAAGGTGTAAAATTTCCCATTATTTTAACAAGCTGTATTCACAAATATTTATAGTTAAAACAACAAAGATTTGATATTCACAAATTTGTATGATATATACTGTCTAAACTCACTAAAGTGCAAACTATCTTGTGTAATAATGTTAAAAAAGTTGACTGCAGAGACCTAAGGTCTCATTTTATTACTTTTATAAACATACACTTGATGAAACTATGATGTGTAGGGTTTGTGGTTATTTAATATGCACCAACTTTTGTGTACTAAGCTACTGGGGTACTGGCTTATCCAGGAAGGTAGTTTCTGTCTGCCTATAAAATACTGATTGGAGACACTTTTTGTGTCATTATACACCTGATTATAAACTCCTTACTCCTTAAGCACCAGTGCTCCCCTCTCGACAAGTAAAATTGTCTGGTGTTTATCAATTTATATAAAATAGGGTGCATTAAGGTACAATGCAACTTTTAAAACAGTTTAATGAAAGCATTTCTAAGCAGCATTGTATGTAGACCTTTAAGACAGGAATAAAGCTGCAGCCATCTGTGATTCTGATGCAGTGTTCAAACCAATTTATACTAATCAGCTACAGTTGTCGAGCTGTAGTTGCAAATTAATTCATGTAAATATCGTAAAGTGAAGCCTGTAGTATTAAAGGTGTAAGGGTAAATGTCAGGATTTTGGACATCACACTCAACAGAACTTTAAGTATCGAAGATAGCGTCACTAGACAAATATTTTAAGTGTGAATTTTATACGTACTTAGACCTAACCAACCTAAAAAATATAGTTGCATCTTTTGCAGCTGCTTTAGCCAGGTCTAAAAATGTATAAAATTTACACTCAAAATTTTCATCTACAAAAACCCTTCAACATTTAGTGATGTACATCAGCATTACCATGTAAAACCCTTTTCTCACCAAACATGCACTGCATGTAATAGTTGGTGGTCCACATAGGAATATTTGCACAAGAAATCAAGAATAGACATTACTGTACCTCTCAATTCTTTATTTTTCTCATACGGAATACATGGTCTGCTTCGTTAAATTAATATGTAATTCTTAGATAATAATTAAACTGCTTTATATTTTTTTAGACCAAGACGTGTTCACTTAAATTAAGGGAGAGGTATTGTCAGTGGCAAATTTGAGGAATCTGATGCATTGGTGGAATACTGCATGTGCATGGTCATGAAATTATACTTCAATGCTGCAATCCTCAAGGTCTGAAAATTGGAGGTTTTGTACCAACCTCTGCTAATCAGCAGGGATCAAAAGACGTGTTTAAGTAACACTACTAGTTTTGTAAAGAAAATGAAACACTCCTGATGACATATACTAGATTTATTGAAATAGTTGAACTGAGGCAATGATAGTAATTCAAGCATTTTTGGGGAAAATTTTTAAAAATGTACTTGTTTTTAAAATCAGTAAATTTTTATTTGACTAATAATTTTCTCAGAACCAATCCAATATCCACTACATTAATTTAAACATATTTTCAGAGGTCAAGTAACTACCAATGATTTGAGCTCTAGGTTTGGAAATAGAAATCACAAAATGTTAACGAAAATTTTAATAAATTTTATATATTTACATAATATGTACTGTAATTTAGTATTTATGACAAAAAGTATTTGATATAATCATTGAAAATTGTATTGAATTAAATTAAATTACATTAATAAGGAGGCATTCATTATTGATGGGGCTGGGGGGGGGATGAGTGAGAAACTGGGGGGACCTGAGATTTTCCCAAATGAAAAGGGGACTGGCTGCAATTCTGGTAAACCAAATCCTGGGGGGACCTGACATTGAAGGAAGACACAATTTTACAAATTTCAAAAATCATGATGATGGTGAAAACAAAAAGAAATCAGATTTACATAAACTTCATCTTTGAATTTATTTATGAAGTTATCAAATACATCATTTCTGAAGTTATCCAAAACACTCACAGTACATGTTTCATCAGATCTATTAAAACGCTTGGGTATTGCCTCGTTATAAAATGTTATAAATCTGATAAAAGGTTGTTGTTGGTGCTTTGAATATATTTTAATACAATATAATAACTAACTTTCTTTTCTGCTCTCTCAGTCCCTGCTGTACAATTGTACAAGCATGTACATACTACATTTAGACACAAGATGTACATTTAAATTTAATGTAGTGTGAATTAAAAAATTAAATGTCACTGTGTGTAGTACTCTTTATTGTCAATAAAAAAGAGTTGCACCATAATTATACTTGACTACAGTAATTGGTGAGTGACTAATTATTATCATAACTTCAATTTGTTCTTCTCCATTTTGGCATCCTGTGCCATCTCTTCTGGTACCTGTATTAAACAGATAAATCCTGCAAAAAAAGATAACATACCACAATCATGTTATTACACATCTTTAGTAATTAATATTATACAAAAATATAAATAAGTATTACATATATGTTAACCCTTTAAGTGGCAATGCACCCTAATGTACTGCACTTTAGGGGAGAGCACTGCCACTCAGTGGATTAATCCGACAATCTTCTGCATGGTTAGGAATGACTATTTTACTCATCGAGGGGAGAGTGCTCATGGCACTCAATGGAATATAAATCAAACTATCTGCATACCGGTACCCAATGTGCCCAACTTTAGTTAATCTTACTCTGTCTAACACCAGATTATTTTACTCAATCTGTCTAATGCCAGACAATTTTACTTGTCAAGGGGAGAGCACACTGGTGCTCCATGGATTAAGGCAAAAAGGTGTAAAGAACTACGATATCCAACAACCTAAAGTGCACGGTCATAAGGTGGCAACCTAAATCCCCCCCCCCCCCACAATAAGTGGCCACCACTGTCCTACAACCCCATATATAAACACTGCTACAAAAAGCCTGGCAAAAGTAGGACTGCTTATCCAAGCTCAGTGAGACTCGCTCAATGTAGGGGAATGCAGTGCAGCCTTGTTCACAGGACATGAAGTCTGTGCAGTTTCTGGACTATCACTTGCTGCCACCCTATTGAGAGAGATTGTTAAATCTAGCTCAAAAGAAAGTTTCAGTTATACCATATCTTGTCTCTCAAACACATAGGCAAGCAATCATGCTTATCCAACTTTTGCACACTGCTTTGAACACTCCCAGGTCCTAGGTATTTTGTTCCCTCTGTCTCACACTCTCTGTCTTTGTGCTTATCTATATATTAATCCTGATTCACACCATATATAATCTGTACGATCGTGTGAGCAAGTGAACAACCACAATTATTATAAATTTATATTAAAAACTGGCAATAAAAAACTCAAACAACATAATTTCATGTCCACAATTTTCAACGATTATAAGCAGGATTTATGTGTCCGTACCCCGGTTCCAGAGGCTCTTTAATGTGTCTGCTACCGAAATATTTGCTGTATATATATATATATATATATAGTAGCATGAGTTTTTGACTTATATAGTTATATTATAGTCATTTGACTCATTTCGAGAGTCATTTTATATCTAGCAAGGTTCTACAAAGTAAAAATAGTTTCATGAATCTCACCTGAAAGAATAGTTAATCTTTCTTGATAGTGAATTCTTGCATCAACAAACGGAACAAAACGGCACTTTTCCTCCACATCGTAAAACAAGTAAAGTGCGAGGGAAAGATTTTTTAGCTCAAAAACAACCGAAAACAGCTCTGAATTCCGAAATATTTGTGTAAAAACAGGGGGGTGCAGGACTTTGTTTAGTGCTTCGGATCGCGGTTGGTTAGTGGCAATTACCATGGAGACTTCGGACCAGTTGTCATGGAAATGGCGTAAGCGCCGCCATGTTTTTGGCGACACTCTTTCATGCCGAGCAGGTCCTCCAGTAATATAGTATAGCTCAGTGGTTCTTCTCTTCATTTTGTTAATGCGACTTAATGCGACGTAGACGTCGTCGCATGATAGCGGCGTGTCGACAAACTTGGACCACAGGCGGCCCAATCTCAGAATGAATGATCAGGTGTTGCGGGTTTTTAACGGTTTTTATAAACAAATTTTAAATAGTCAACCAAAACTATTCTAAAAACATTCTCAAATTGGTCAAATAAATGCATTTTAACAATAAAATATA